GTGTCGTTTTTCTTCGAGACAAGGTGACAAAGTTACGGTATAATAACCAGTTTTAGAAGAAAAATTATTCGGATTATAACGTCTTGCTTTGCATATAATATTTGAAATTATGAATCCCGAAGGGAAAAAAGTACGATGCAGGTGATTCCATTCCCGTTTCACCGGGTAATAGCTAGCTGTCGGGAAACCACCCCCGGTCCGAAGCCCTGGCCATTTTATACAGATCATGCGTCGTGGTAAAATCACGTAGGAATTATCTTCAAAAATATTTATTTAGTTTATTGTATTTCTACAAAAAGAACCACTTTCTGCTTTCGTTTTGCATACACGACGTGCAATTTGAATTACTCCCCTTTGCGTCGCAAGCTTACAACGACAGATTTTGACCCTATATCCGTTATAACATTTGATATTAATTAACAAACACACAGTATAATTAAAATCGTCAAATTATTTTTAAAAACCTTAATTTCAAAAGAATTTAAGTAGGATTCTGTTCGCAACAAAAATATTTCGCATGCTTTATTTCAGAATTATACGGTCAACATTTCAATTGACCTACACAAGAAAAACAATGACATTGTTTTACCATGTCGTAGGAAAACGTATACAGGTAATACAGGTAACATCCTGTGTATAAAGGTAGGTATACACAAGCCAGCGTTGTTCCCTCGGGGCTTCTCACCCGCTTCGATTATGCTCCACCCCACACCAAACTTACCTGAGGAAAACCGACCGGTTGAAAACCTCGACCTTTAATTCAATTTGTGTAGTTATTCATAAACAATCTCCGGGTTAAACAAATTAGCTTCAAACTATTTTGTAAGCATATTCAAATTACTTTTAATTCTTTTAATTTCATGATGGGTATCAAAATCATCGTCTCCTTACGCACAATCTGAATCTGGAATTTGTTTTATTGTTCTCTTTTGCTTTGGTAAAATAAAAATTTCCTCAAAAACTTGTCACGGTTGTGAAAGAAATAACACCTGCAGAGTGGATACGGTCGTGCTGCCACAGAATAAACAGTGTATAGTGGTCAGTCAAAAGAACAATAGGTGTCTGATCTGTGTACCTAGAGTCACTGGTCAACTATCAACAGCTCGGAACTACTCTCACAGCCATGACAGTTTTTGAGGAACATTTTTAATTTTTTTACCAAAGTCAAAGAAGCAATAAAACAAATTCCGAATTCAGATTGTGTGTAATAAGACAATTATTTTGATACCCATCATGAAATTTAAAGAATTAAAAGAAATGTAAATATGCTTAAAAGATACTTTGAAGTATGTTTTGTTTTTCCTTACGACTGTTTATGCGAAACTCACAAATAAATTGAATAAAATAGAATTAATTAATCAAAATAAAATGAATTAAAAACTAAATAAATATATAATATTTATCAGTTAATTAATAATTCAATAAGGAAAATATATCTAAAAAAAATCTATGAACAGATTTAATTAATAAATTAGTCAATAAATAAACAAAACAAGTAAATAAATACATGTGGATATATGGATAAACATATAAATAAATATAAATATATATACTTGCCATTCATAACAAGACACAATAAATTTGTAATTTATTCTTTTCAAAGTAACTGGCATTTATTCTCCTTAAAATTTATCTAAAAGCTACATGTAGTAAACTAAAACAATCAAATACAATCATATTAAGAAATAAATTACTCAAGATATTCAAACAAATAACAATTGACTAAATATATATCTTCACAAAACTTAAGAATTGCCAAGAGTAACGTATTTCTCACAAGTAAATAGCAACAAAACATATTTCAACCCTTTTTCCTGGTCAAAATGAATGTCAGGGGACGACAGGGGGTTGGCAGGGTGGTCAGGGACTTAGTCAGGGGACATCAGGGAGTAAACAGGGACGTCAGGGAATGTCAGGGGACATCAGGGGTTAGACAGTGGTAACAGGGGCAAAGTCAGGGGACGTCAGGGAGTAGACAGGGTAGTCAGGGACAACGACAGGGGATTATAGGAGAAAGTCAGGGGGAGACAGGAAAATGTCAGGGACAGACAGGGGAACGTCAGGGGATTTTTTGGAATCTAAGGGGAAAATCATTACAGTAGTGTGAATATTTAAACTTGAAATAATAACAATTCTTTATTTGGATTTCATTTAAATTGTTTACTGAAAAATTCCATAATCTGCATTAAGAGACTGAATATGGGGGATAACACATTATCATGTAGGGTATTTTGAATGAAGTAAATCATTCAAATACAGAAAAATAAGCTTACAGCTAAATGCCTGGGATAAACAGTTTTGATTTGTAATATGTTTACTTTCCAATGGGTTTGAAAACCACAGGGAATGAAAATCATTTCGCCATCAGCATGAATTCATTATAGCGTGTTCGTTATAACCATGTTTTACTGTGTAAATATTTCTTCTCTTACAGGTCATCCTTAAAAAATTGTTTATTTGGAATTGCCACCTGGGAGGTTTCAGACTCAGGAGGGAGGGATATTTTTTTTTCAAAATTAAAGTTAAATAAAAAATTTATGATAAAAATCTCAATAAGCAGTAAACACATTATTTTCTGCCTTTTTGTAAAGGGTATCTCCCATCAACCAGGAACCCAGCTTTGCTCTGATCCAACACTTACTTTAAGTGATTGGATGGCACATGTGATAACAGGCCAAGAATTGATTGAATAAAAAAAAAAAAACTTCTTATTTTTGGTCAATAAAATTTTTCCAGGAGGGTCATTTCAATGAGGCGGGAGGCAATTCCAAACGAACAATAATTTTATTTTGGCCTTACAACATGGTACATTTGTATAGATACATTTTCCTCAATGTTTAAGCCAATGGTTTAAACATTCACTTATTATACTATGGTGTACCATAGATTTAGAGTTTGTGCTAGCCAGATATCTTTTGATCTTGATGATATAACATTAAAACTGTTCTCCTTCAGTGCAACACAAATTTCACAATTCTAAAATTAAAACCTTAATATATGAAATTTACAGTAATATTTTCTATCAGTTCTTCTTTTCTAGATGTGTACCGCCTTGGCAAAATGTTCAGTTTCTGAAAATATAACAAACTCTTATATCATCTTTTCCAAATTTTTCTTCTACCACTCCTTAGAAGCAAGATGTGCTGTAAGGCACAACTTGCACAACTTTACTTGGGAAAAACACAGATAATGATTTATAGACTTAATTAATTCTGTTGATAAAATCTGGTGTATTTATTATAATTGAATTGAGATTTTATTTGCAAGGGTATTAATGGATTCAAGTACTTAAAATAAAATTCTACATACCAAGACAATTATACAAACTAGTTTACACAATGTACCACTATGATGAATAATGTGAAAAAGAATATGTAGTGTAAAAGTTTTAAAATGAATGTTATTTCATGCATAGATCCTCTCCCATATAATATTTTGTGTTATAATGATAATTATTTTTTAGCTACTTGAAATTGAAATTTTTTCCGGCAGATCTACATCATGTACATACACAAATTTATCTGCACATGTTTTTTTTTAATAAAGTTTAAGAACCTCCGCATTAAAAATATTTAAACTAGATTCGCTTAATGCTGTGAATAATACAGAATCAATTATTTGGTTTAATTATTAGGTTTTGTTCAATACACCTCTATGATTATCTTATCAAAGGCACTGCGACTTTTATTTACTTAGTACGTGTATGCACTTAAAACCCAATAAAAATTAAAGTAAATAGTTATACACCAAACATCATACCTTTATTGTATTGTTAAACTTATTTTTCTTGACCAAGTGTTTCTACTTACCCTTTTATCACCAATTTCAATAACATCAAGCCGTGGCGAGGCCTCAAAAGTGGACTCCATAGGACGTTTGGTGATCAGCTGATTCAGATCGAAAAATATTGCGGGATTATTGCTATTTATTAATTTAATATTTATCTTAAGATTGTATTGAATAATTTAACCGCAAGAAATACTCTATTTGTATTTGTTCCCGACTGAAATAAGAATATCTACTTGCTGTTTCGTTTTGTGAAAAACGAATCTGTATTATTAGTAAACCAGCATGATCCTGATTTTAAGTAGGTCAATGCTGGTTTTTAAATCTAGGTCAATGCTAGCTATGCTAGTTCTATCCTTTGCTTGCTGATACTGATCCTGGTAATGCTGTTTTTTAAATGCTGATGCTAGCTCGATCCTGATGCTACTAATGCTTATGCTGGTTGATGTAACAAAATTAGTTCCCTGCACTGTACTACAGTATACACGTGTCTTGTCAGGAAAAACACCAGTCAAATTTTGAAACTAAATGAAAAATTATAATTATTATGTTTTCAAGCAAGCACTGAAAATTAATTGGCAATATTTTTCAAACGGAAGTTTCTTCTGTCTTTCGCTTTACATAAGTTTTGTTTTGTTTTTTGTTTTTTTTGTTTTTTGGTTTTGTTTTGGTTGTATATCTTTGGCCGATTTTTGTTTGTGTTTGTGTTTTGAAAATTTATTTTACCTTCTCTCTTTTTTTTAATTTGAAATAACATTTTAAAGATTTATAATAATATCGATGAGAAACCTGAATTAGACTCGAAATTGTAGCAATCCCAATAGAGGACAATTTTAGTATTTTTGAAGGTTAAATGTCTGCCATGTTTATTTTTGTCTAATCCTTAATGAACCGTAACTTTAAACTAACATTGTAACCTGAGAAGTTACAACACATTTTGTCTTTGAAAGTGTCAGACTTTAAAGAGCCCTGTTACATTTTTACCATTTCTTTTCCCTGTGCATATGGTAAAATAAGCTTAAAAATTTCATATTCATGAATTTTATCCAAATAGAATAAAAGATAATACCTAATGGGAAACCTATTGTGATTTCAACAGTGCCTTATGGTTAATGTCCAATACTTCCAAAGGTTCTTGAGCTAATGGAAAAATAACGTTATATAATGCGTATCGTGGTCTCAAATCGTGTCATTAGACAGTGGCTTAGGAAGTTTCGGCAGACGAATTCATAACTATCCCTTTGTGACTTTAACAATATCATCCATAAATTTAAAACAGCGAAGAGCTTTCCTATGTTTACTGGTTGAAGTGATTTTTCATGACAAAAACGTCGGTGAGTAGATTTCACACACGTTATAATAGCTATTTCACTACCAGACATTTTAATTTTAGTTTTATTGTTAAACAGAAAAGAAATACCTTCTTGACATTCAATCTGGGAATTAGCAGAACTAGATTTGCTTGTTTCGGGGTAAAGATATAGTTTCATTATCTTTTAATTGTAGCCCAAAAATTAATTATATCAAATGTTATCAAAATATACGATTTAGACAGAAGAGTTTTCGCGTTTCAGTTCTCAAAAAAGTTGGCACTCAATGTTACAGTATAATTATTGAAAAAATAGCCAAGAATCAATGCATTTCTTTGTTTTTTTCTTTTTTAAATCAAACGCTTAAATTTGTTTTGTGAATGCAATGACATCGGTGATACAGCGTTAGAGGCACATTTTTTTTTTACAGATGAGGACAGGTAAATTTATGAATAGCAAATTAACTTTAAAAAAAGGGAAGTAGGTCAAATATTATCTATAAAGAAATATTAAGAAAATTTAATTGCTTATATACTCTCCCCCTTTTCAGTTAACTCACACAAATTATTCAATACAATTCTTCTTGAATGAAACAAGTTTACAAATCGCGTCTTCATTAGTAAAATTTCCATTTTATTATTTCTTGAGTAATAGCTGAGCACTCTTACAATTGGCCATTCTCGTACAGTTTGAAGAAAATGTCAAGCATTGTGTCTAGAAAAAAAAGAACGAAAATAAAATCTCACAAATTCACAATGACTTCTTTCGAAACAGGTTTATATCTCGGATAATCGCAAAATTTGTACTTTGTTTTCCTTAATGTGATGTGAATGAAGCCATTTTTACAACTTCAGCTTCTATTGAACCAAAAGACTTTTGTCTAGAAGATAAAATTAATGCAATACAATTTATGCATCACGGTGGAGCAATACTGTGAAACATAATTGTAAAGTATATTGTACAGGTATGGGTAATCATGCCGTTTGTGAACCAAATAAACAGCGTAATTTGTTTGCAAAAGATAAACACCTTCCAAGGTTTTATAATTTTAAGTGACATGGTATTTCATTTTGAATGTATGTCGACATGCAAGTGCATCTTCTTTTTCCTAATCGAAATGACTGGTTTCGGGTAACTTCTCGCGAAAACTCTTTCTTCAGTACCAATTTACGGCATTTTCTCGCCATTGTTGAATGTGAGTACTGTTTACATCTATAACAATCGAAAATGGTTTCTCGAAGATGAGTTTCGGTACATTAATTACATACGTGTATTGAGAATAATTGATTAAATTTGACATCTATCTGACTTATCTATCTAATCTCTCTATTTATCCAGATGACAAATCTTATTGAATACACTATAAATTGCGAAATTCAAAATATTTTAATTGGTTAAAAAAAATTCAATTTAAGTAAAATGTATCTGCAGGAGCGCTACCATTCAAACTCGGAAATGAAAATAATTAAGACTTGAAACTTTACTTATGATGGTATGATTTCTTGGCCGTACGTTATGTAGAAACAACAATAAAAATGTTTGAAGAATTCAACTTTCACTCTAATCGATCTAATTAACAAACACAATATATTTTTATGACAATGAATTATGAAATACTTTTGTTTTCAATTGACAAATATATAAAGTGACAATGAGGAAAAAACCTGGAATTCATTAAGGGAAGAAATGTGAATAGTAGTACGTCATATGAATTACTTCAATTAGTTAAAATTTTAACTCAAATTTTATTCAAATTAAAAAATCTTCAAGAACAATCAAAATAACTGCCACTGAGAAAAAAATTGGAACACAAGTATGTATATATACTTCCTATAATATTGTTTATAATTGTAGGAAATCCGAAATATATTACTTATATTTTGTATACGGAGTACAGTTTAAAAGATGCCCTGGAGATAGATTACGCCAAACATTGTTGATGCGACAGTTTACGAAGAAATGGCCTTATACTGATAAGGTCAAACTGTTGATCTTTTATTATACGTACCTACTTTATTAACTTTTTTAAGTGTGTTTATACTTTTCTACTTTCAAATAAAAATATGTCAAATTAAAAATTCATCAGTATGATTGAAGAACACTGTTTATTTACCTGTGAAGCAAATATGAAAAGATCTACCCGTCGATTTGCCCGAGTGACTTTGGTACGATTTATTATATTATTTGCCTACTAGTAACAAAGACGTTTAATTCAATTTCGGCTGCTATTTGTCCGCACAAAAGAGTAATTTTTTGACTTTTTAGCTCACCTGAGCCGTAGGCTTAAATGAGCTTTTATGATGAAAGAGTGTCCGGCGTCTGTCTGTAAACTTTTCACATTTCTTTCGACATCCATCTGTCGTCTGTAATCTTTTCGCATTTTCGACTTCTTCACTTAACCACTGAGCCAATTTCTTCCAAACTTGCCACAAAGCATCCCTGGGTGAATGGGATTTAAGCTTGTTCACAGGAAGTTTCATGTCTAGTTCTTTCAAGGGGGAGATAATTAAAAATTCGTAAAAATTTGGTAGCATATTTTAAAAATCTTCTACTCAAGAACCATGAAAAGAACCAAGAAAAGACGAAACTTGTGTGAAAATTTCATTACGTACTATAGATTTAAGTTTTTCAAGAGGGGGTCGAAGTCGAATCATCTCGAGAACAGCTAAGCCATTATAAGTTATATTAAGGTATGTCACTCGTCAGCCTTTTAGAAAATTTCAGTCAGAATCTCTTACTTAAAAACTATTTATTACAATTCAATCTTTATAACATATTTAAATTAAACAATGTAAAATGTTCAACATTCAATTAAAAAGCTGCTCAAAAATTCACAAAGAAGCAAGATTTATAAGGGACTATTTCTTGTGGCGGAAGGATATTTAGCAGAAAATTCTGCAAATCTACACATTTATGAAATTTAATATCTTGGAACTTAAGCCTCACATACTTTTACTCAGAGAATATTTTCCATTATGATATGCCCGGAATATTAAATATAGGTCTCAATTTATATTTTTATAACAAAATTTACACCTTCGCTCAACAAACATTGCCAAGAAATGAAGATATATTATGGAAGTCGAGATAAAATTTACACACTTTTTTTGCCTGAAAATCGCATATTTTGACCAATATTTCAAAATTTACATCACTGACCCCAACTTTTTCTTTCATTATTTTAAACTACTCGATACTTTTGACCGATCAGCACTTAAGTCGTAAAAAGTTTAATACAAGAAAATATTCTATTGCCTATTTAGATTTTTAATACCCCAAATATGAGACTTTTTTAAGTGCAAAAAGGTCACACAATAATTTACGCGCATTAATTTGCATGATTTGTTCAACGATAAATATTATTCAAACTATTTTACGTAAAATAAGATTATGTTTATTGCCATGGTTACATCTTATAAAATATGATAACGGTTAAAGTGATTGACCAAAGAGTTACAATTTAAGTGCAAAAAGGTCAACTTAATTGTACCGTAGCTCAGTTAGATGCACACTGACCCCCCATTTTCTCTGCGATTTTGAGTCATACTATATGAGTACTTATCCAAAATATACTTCTCAAAAAATCCTTGATATAACAAATTTCACGAGTGACATACCTTAATATAGAAGTATCCTCAGGTAGTTTGTTCAAAATCATGATCTCCTGGGGTTGTGCGCAGACACAACAGGGGGCCAAAGTTTTACCTAGAAACCATATGGGAAATATATTAGAAAATCTTTTCAAGAACTACGCCTTTATTAGTCATATTAATACAGAAGCAACTTTAGGTATTGTAGAATCAAGTTTGTACAAGTTATGACCCCCCAGGGGTTGAGGGCACAACAGAAGGTTTAAGTTTTACACAAGAATATATAGGAATCATCTTAAAAACTCCTCTGCTCCAGAAGAGTAAAGCCATGATTATAGAAGCATCCTCAGGTAGATAAAAAAGCATCTAAGAAGCAGAAATAATTTTAAAGTGTTCTGTTTTAAATGTGACAGTAAAGAGATAATTTAACTATGGAGATAGAATAAACCCTTTTTTTAATTCGCAAAGGACTTATTTTTCTTTGTAACTTGTTCATAGTTAAAATTAAGATAGTGTTGGATATGTAGACAAACATTGCTATTTCTTGAATCAAAGAAAATTCGAATGGTAGATATATTGCCATGTTTACCTTCTAGAGTCGCAAAGTAAGAGGTTAATCTTTGTGTTGCGGGTTCTAGTTCGGGACATGGAAACCGATCCTTCGAATGAGACCGAGGTCGCATATCGCAATATATGATCCATCACTGCCCAATTACCGTAACTGCAAAGTACAGGACCAAAATTGCATTATTCCACAGACACACAGTAGCGTCCCAAAATGAGTGACATATGTAACGAAAAAAAAAAGAAAGAAATAAAGTGCCCCGCCACAGCAAGTTACGTCCGTCAAATATTGTTCAATTGTCATTAACAGTTTAGAGTGCAGGGAAATCATGTCAACCTTGATACAAGGATTTCAATGATTTTTCCATTCCTTATAATATCTGTTTATACATCTCCTGTGGTGTAGGCATTAATTATAACAAATATTACATTATAGATCTTCAACTGGTTGTGTTAGAGCTTGACAAATGTCCATCTGCAGCCCCCCCCCCCCCCCCAGCTTTTAGATTTGTGAGACGTGATGCTCTAAATTAGCTGATATTTTCAAAAGATTGAATAAAAATATCATATTAAACAATATCAATTTAGTCTTAACAACTTAATCTATATCAAATTAATATTTAAAAAAAAAACGGCTGGCCATCAAATGACATATACTATAAACTGACAAGCAGTTCTTCTGTCTAATTCCCAAAGGATACAGATAAGAGCTGCTTGATCAGAGATCCTCTAACAGAAATGATTGAGACATCTAGCCTTCCTACACTGAACTCATTAATTAATCTTTAACTGGATGCATGTCCACTCATTACTCCCAACGGATGAATGGATCTATACATACTATCTGCTTTGTAGTGCAATAAAAATGCA